GCATTGAATAATAATAATAATAATAATAATAATAATAATAATAATAATAATAATAATAATGATAATAATGATAATAATAATAAAAACTCATTCATTTTCTTTTTGGCTTAGTCTCTTTATTAATCTGGGGTCACCACAGCGGAATGAACCGCCAACTTATCCAGCATATGTTTTACGCAGCGGATGCCCTTCCAGAAAATCATTTGCTTTATAATAATAATTGTAATTGTTTATTTATTTATTTATTTATTTATTTATTTATTTATTTATTTATTTATTTGTTCGTTTGTTTGTTTATTTGTTTGTATAATGACACACTTTTGTAATAATTCTTATACTCTATTATATGTTTTGAGTGAAAAAGCAGCACAATAATTTGTTCATTTAATATATTATTTAGGATTAAAAAATTTATTAAATAAAAATAATAAAATCCTATTTTTTTAAGCTTAAATTGCAATATAAATAATTACATTGGCTAGCCAAGGGAACAAACTAATTATTATTATTATTTTTATTATTATTATTATTATTATTGTTATTATTATTATTATTATTATTAAAAGTAGTAATAGCTGTTGTGGTATAGAAGAAGATGTTTTTTGTATAATATTAATATTTAGTGAACATTGTATAACAATAATCTATCAATTTGGGCATTTAGTAATTAAATAATATTTATTGGGAAAATAATTTGCTTTATAATAATAATTTTATTTATATATTCATTTGTTTGTTTGCTTGTTTGTTTTAATTGTTTGCATAATGACACATTTTTACACACATAATTCTTAAATTCAATTTTATGTTTTGGTGAAATCGCGGCACAATAATTTGTTATTTATTATATATTTTTATAGGCATACAAAAAAAAATTCTTATTATTTTTAAAAACAACAACAAAATGATTGTGTTATTATTATTAATATTATTATAGATAAAAATAATCACTAATAAAATAATTATTAAAAGCGTATTATTAATAATGTTATTTATATATTAATTGAGCAATAATACAACTAAATAATTGCTATGCTAGGTCTGGAAAATACAGCCTACTCGTTGACTGAGCTACAAACCAGAAAGCCACAACTATAACAAAAAGTACCTGAACATGTACAAAGACATCTTGAGAGCAGTTGTTAAACACATTGTCAGACGAATCTCTTTATAAATGATATTCACTGTCACGGGTGGTCTGGCTGATAGCAGATGTGTGCAGTTTCAGTGACACCGTGTCTCATCTGATTACAGTCACACTACACAAAAGAGCCATTACTGTTACATAATATAAACTGATAAACGACAAACACACGCTGAGTCACAGATGTTCAAACAAGCTAAGCTGGGAACATTTAAAACCCACAAGCAAGTGAGAATGAGTGCTAAGTCTAAATCATTCAGAAATCATTTCACACTGGCAGAAGTTAACCCTTGTGCTCTGTTCAAATTGTCTACCCTTCTGTTTTGTTCGGGATGAAAATATCCACTGAATTAAGCTGCTGTGAAACTGCATCAGATTAATATTTTTTCTTTTTTTTTTGCATTAATCTGTTAATCAACCTCAGTTCTGATCAAAACTACTAAATTATTTAGAAAATGACAGGGTTTTAACTCTTTAATTGCCAAATTTACTAATAATGTCAGTGATTTGGTGAAAAAAACACACACAAAATGACGTATTTTCAATATAAAAAGTAATTGTGCACTATTTTTTTTCTTTTATCACAGTCTTGGACATGTGAAAGATTAGTAACAACATTGGCTTTAATGCATTGTTAGATTTTTATTTTTTCTCTATAAACTACTGTTGTTGGCTGTTTTTGCCCCATTGACTTCTGTTATAACCACATTTGATGGTGCATGAATACACAGTCTTTGTTTATGTTTACTACATGTAGTTCTAAGAGCTGAAATGCATATTTTGCATATTTGCATATTTTGATTTTGCATATTTATTTTGAAAACAAGTCACATGTGAGTAAACTCTCCTCACATTTGGTCAGTTTCACAGGTTTATTCCAGCTATCAGGGGAGGTGGTGGTTTGGTGGTGTTTGACAAGGTACGCGCGTCGTGTCTGAAGAGCGAGGAGGGAGAAGATTCATGATGTACTTGAGGACCAGGAGGGAGATGCACCATTTCTGGAAGATTATCACTCGTTTGCGGGCATCCTAGAGTTTCTGTGCATACGAAACTTCCGTGAGATGTGGGATGTCCGTTGAATGACCTCCCGCCCTACTCATAATTCTCTTTTTATTTAGCCGTATGCCTATTACACATCCATAAAACACTGTGATATAACCGAGCTCGGATTGTATCGCTTTCTCACTACAATCAATCCGCTCCAGAGTTTGTTTTAATCGTGCCGAGACCACCTCATTCAAGTGATCTCAGAGCGATTGATTTGGCGCTGATCCTATAGCGCGATGGGGGGTTTTACATATGGCAAATGAACCGCGCTAACTGGGCAAACGAGATACGTTCCGAAACAAAAGTGTAGGTGTGAAAGCACCCAAAGCTTAGGCACAAGCCCATCTAAAGGATTAATGGTTCCAACTGATGGTCAACAATAACAATTACAAATTTTACCTCTTGATTATGATTATATGGTGTCATGGTTTTGCAATGATAAAAAAATGGATACAATCGAAGTCAAGGGGGTAAAAACAGCCACCAACGGTAAATTAGGGACAAAAATGAAAATCTGTCAAAAACAATGCATAAAAGGAAATGTTGTTTCACACGTCCAAGACTGTAATAATGGGTTAAAAAATCCTCTCCACAATTACTTTATTTATGAAAATTACTTTACTTTGTGTGTTTTTTTTCACCAAATCAGTGACATCATTTTTGAATTTGGCAATTAAAGATTTAAAATCCTGCAATTTTCTAAGCAATTTGGTAGTTTTGATCAGGAGGTTGATTAACAGATTTATGCAAAAAAAAAGTAAAAATATTTATCTAATGTATTTTTACAGCAGTGTAATTCAGTGTATGTTTTCTTCCCCAATATAACAAAAGAGTAGTAAATTTGCCCAGAGTGTAATGTCGAGTTTTTAAACAAAATTCAAAGCATTTTCCAAAAATATGCGTCAAAAAAGGATTTGGCACCAAAGATCATTCTGCTGGCTGAAACACAGAAAAGATTACAGCCATATTAAGACTTAAAATCACCCCAGAGGATGAAAACATCCCTAACAGTCTATAAGGGTTCAGGAAGCTGTAGTAGACGAAACATCCATGAGACAACAAACATGAGAACTTCCCATAAAGAAACTGAGGACTTAAATAAATAAATACATTCGTCTGAAAAAAACATCTTGTCGAAATATTGTTTATGTTTAGATTGGAGTTCAGGAAATTCCATCCAAGTTGCCAGATTCAGATTTATTATATAGCCTAATGCTAGGTAGGTCATATTCTAGGTGTCTTAATCATTAAACAAATTATTAGTCTATAATTTAATGGAATATGCTGTTAAAATAATATTTCACATATAAAATGGAATTGTTATACCAGCCCACTTCTACCACTGCTACTTTTAAGTAAATGTCATTCATTTTCTTTTCGGCTTAGTGCCTTTATTAATCCGGAATCGCCACAGTGGAATGAGCTGCCAACTTATCCAGCAAATGTTTTACGCAGCAGATGCCTTTGCAGCTGCAACCCATCTCACCCACACACACTCATTCACACTCATACACTACGGACAATTTAGCCTACCCAATTCACCTGTACCGCATGTCTTTGGACTGTGGGGGAAACCGAAGCACCCGGAGGAAACCCACACGAACGCGGGGTAAGTAAATGTCATGACAATTTATTATTGTCAGGCTATTAATGATATAACATTAGTAGCCTATTATTATTATTAATAATATTTTTTGACAATTTTTTTTTACAAAAAATATAATTAATAAATTATCAACATGCTTATTTTGGTGCTCCCTTGCATATCTATTATACTATTCTAGGGTAACAATAATAGTAATTATTTATTTATTTAACTTATTTATTTATTTGTTTGTTGATGATATAATAAGCACAGTACATGTTTTTTATTTAGCCTTTGTATCTTTTTTCCTAAATGCTTAATTTTATTAAATACTGTAGAAGGTGAAATTATTAGTCCCTCAGTAATTTGTATTCTATTTCAGATATTTCCCAAATGCTGTTTAATGGAGAGACGTTTTTTCCAACACATTTTAAGCATACATATTTTATTAACTAATTTAAAAGAACTAATTTGTTAGTACATGACAGGACAGTACAAAATATTTTAATATTTTTCAAGATACTAGTGTTCATTGTAATTAAAAGGCTTAACAAGTTAGGCAAGTTAGGGTTATTAGCCAAGCCATTTGACAGCAGAGGTTTGTTTATAGCCAATAAAACTGAAAAAAATCTTCTTCTTCTTCTTCTTCTTATTATTATTATTAATATTATATTCTAAATGATTTCATTTCAGCCAAAACAAAGAAGTAATAAAGTAAGAGACTTTCTCTAAACGAAAAAAAAAATATTAGAAATACCTTGAAAATCTTAAAATCAGTGAAGAATTCATTCACTGGTGAGCTAATCATTTTCCCCTCAACTGTAGCCTAAATGCGCTAGCGTATGTGTTATTAAACGTTTAAATTACTGCAAAAGCTGTATCTTACTAAACATAAGGCCAAAGACCTTCAGTCAGAATATCATTGTATGATCTGTTTGGTCACAAAATAATAATAAAAACGACATACTATTGCAAAATTACACTCTTTACTGCCTGAGTTATTTCCCAGTACTGGGTTGCAGCTGGAAGGGCATCCGCTGTGTAAAACATATGCTGGATAAGTGGGCGGTTCATTCCGCCGTGGCGACCCCTGACGGTAAAAGGAATGAATGGATGAATGAATGATTCAACCTGACTTATTTCACTATTAAACACTAGATGTCGCTCTTTTCAGAAATTCCGTATAAACACAACACAAACCTGTCCCTCTTGGCTTTCCGTAGCAGCTGTACGTGTGCTCTGATGACTGCTTTCTCAAAACTACAACACGCATTCCAGTTTTACTTTATAAAGTTGTTTGCAGTGTAAATGCTTGCTCTTTCCTGACAAACATGAGTCTACTAATGTTTTGAGACTCAATTATTAAACCCCTAATGAGCGGGTATCTTGGTACCTGATGGCATTGTTTGTAGTGCTGAGTGGTGTCATTCTCACCGCTTTATTATTAGTGACAGGGTTTATTTTACGATTATTTGTGGTCTTGCGAAATGGACCTGAATATAAACCTGGACAGAAGGGATCTGTATCAGTGCTGGTGGTGGCTGGATCAGGTCAGGAATAAGTATTTGCATGTATCTGTGTTTTATATATTGCTTTTGTGTTTTAAAGCTGAATAAAAATGTCTCTGTCTGTCTGTCTGTCTGTCTATTACTTCTATGTACACCATATACCTTCTATATATCTATACCTTCTATAGAGTATATCTATCTATCTATCTATCTATCTATCTATCTATCTATCTATCTATCTATCTATCTATCTATCTATCTATCTATCTATTACTTCTATATACAGTATATATATATATATATATATATATATATATATATATATATATATATATATATATATATATATATATATATATGAGCAATTCCAGCGTTATGGATGTGACATTTGCAATAAAAACTCAACACATAAATTGACAGAGAAAGTATATGTTAACATTATATTAAAATTTTTTATTATATTTTCAAGAGCAACTAGCCACAGAGTTATGGGAGCAGAAAAATATCAATCTGTAAACGTGTTTTGTACTTTAAATGAGGAAAATAAGCATGCGTTATGGATGTGACAAAAAAAGTCTGCGAGTTTACAGTACACAACATACTTTGTAGAAATTATGTGAATTAAACTGCACAACCCAAAAGAAATAATGCTAATCAAAAGGATTAGAGTCGGCTCTCTATAAAACAAAATTGCTTGGTTTTATTTTATTTAATATTTTCACATTTCTGAGGAAAAAGTGTCGTTATGGATGTGACATCTCTCTGTTATGGATGTGACGCATGTGAAATTACCATTTGTGTGACTTTGGTAAATCAAATAGAAAAGTTTGAAAACATTGACAGATGCATTTTTGAGTATTTTTAAAGTACTGTAAAATACTTGCTTACACAAAAAACCCAGAAATGGTTTCCATATTTTGGTAAAAACAAAAATCTTTTTCATGGCAAGGTTGACATTTGCACGGAATTGCTCATATATATATATATATATATATATATATATATATATATATATATATATATATATATATATATATATATATAGAAGGCATAGATACTGTATATAGAAGTGATAGATAGATAGGTATATATATATATATATATATATATATATATATATATATATATATATATATATATATATATATATAAATATATATATGATTTCTATATAATATGATTTCTATATAATATATCTATACCTTACTTTATATGTCCGTCCGTCTGTCTATCTGTCTGTCTATATCTATCTGTCTGTCTGTCTGTCTATTACTTCTATATACAGTATCTATACCCTATATATATATATATATATATATATATATAAGGTATAGATACTGTATATAGAAGTGATAGATAGATAGGTATATATATATATATATATATATATATATATATATATATATATATATATATATATATATATATATATATATATATATATGTATGTATATATATATATATATATATTTATATATATATTTATATATATTTATATATATGATTTCTATATAATATATCTATACCTTACTTTATATGTCCGTCCGTCTGTCTATCTGTCTGTCTATATCTATCTGTCTGTCTGTCTGTCTATTACTTCTATATACAGTATCTATACCCTATATATATATATATATATATATATATATATATATATATATATATAATTTCTATATATCTATACCTTACTTTATCTGTTCGTCCGTCTGTCTGCATATATTGTATATTCTTTAGTTTTTACATATTTGGGTCCCACTTTATATTAAGTGTCCCTAACTACTATGTACTTACATCAAAAAAATAAATACAATGTACTTACTGTGTTTATAATGTATTTGAGATCACTTGTGGTGCTTTTGAGTTGGGATAGAGGTTGGGTTATGGACAGGTTTGGTGGTATGGGTAGGTTTAAGGGTGGGTTAAGGTGTAAGGGATGGTCAACAGTGTATTTACAAATGTAATTACAAAAGTTAATTACAGATGTAATTACATACAGGTATTTAATCAAGCATAAGTACACAGTAAATACATGTATTTACACAATAAGTACATTGTAACAAACTATTAATTCCTATGTAAGTACATATTAGTTAAGGCCACTTGATATAAAGTGGGACCCATATTTGCATTTAATGTAATATAATAATGCTAATACAAATGGCATAAATATTTTATTTGCAATTAAATAATACACTTAAGAACATATTGCAATAAAAATGTCACGTTTATTTTATTATTTCATTTGTGATTTATTATTTTGGGATGTTTTATTCTTATTATTGTGGCAAAAAAAGTCTAATTTCTTAATATTAGTTAACTGTGAATAACAATGAAAAATACTTCTGCAATATTTAAAAGTATAGTTTCAGCATTTACTAGTTGATTGTTTAAAATACAGTTTAATTTGTTAACCTGGTGCATTCTGAACTCACATAATTAAATGTTCACTCATTTTCACAAAGATTAAAAGGCTAAATCCTGGAAAAATAGATTATTACTCACTATTAGCTAGTGCACGGGTGGGCAATCTCGGTCCTGGAGGGCCGGTGTCCTGCACAGTTTAGCTCCAACCCTATTCAAACAGACCTCCCTATAGAGTTCAAGTGATCTTGAAGACACTGATTAGTTTGTTCAGGGGTGTTTGACTAGTGTTGGAACAAAACTCTGCAGGGACATCGGCCCTCGAGGATCAAGTTTGCCCATCCCTGAGCTAGTGCATTATCTAATAAGAACAAATTAGCTTCATAGCAAAGTGTCATCATCATTAATATTGTTATGGACAATATTTATTTTCTGTTTCTCTCAGGAGGACACACCACAGAAATCATCCGTCTGCTGGGGAGTTTATCTCACTCTTATAACCCTCGACATTATGTGATCGCAGACACCGATAAAATGAGCGAAGAGAAGATCCGAACATTTGAAGCAGAGAGAGAAAAAAGTGATTCAACCTCTCAGGTGAAAAAACAAAACAAAACAACAACTATAAAATCTACTAGTTGATCCCAGAAATATCATCATTCCAAACCCATGTGCCGGTCTGTGATATTTCAAAAGGCACTTTCTTATTGTTATGTCTCACATTGGCCCGCAGGTGGCAGCAGATCCTGTCATTTTACAGGCATTTTCATACAAATAGTTTTTGAAATTATGAGAATATATATGGAAGGATGGATAGATAGATATGTGGATATGATAGATGGATTTGATTGATGGATACAATAGATAGATGGATGGATGGACAGATAAGTGGATACAATAGATGGATTCAATTGATGGATGCAATAGATGAATGGATACAATAGGATAGATAGACAGATAGATAGATAGATAGATAGATAGATAGATAGATAGATGGATGGATGGATGGATGGATGGATGGATGGATGGATGGATGGATGGATTTATAGGTAGATTAATGGATTGATGGGTTAGATGCGATGGATGATAGATACAGTAGATAGATACAATGGATGGATGGATGGATGGATGGATGGATGGATGGATGGATGAATAGATAGATAGGTGGATACGATAGATAGATAGATAGATAGATAGATAGATAGATAGATAGATAGATAGATAGATAGATAGATAGATAGATAGATAGATAGATAGATAGATAGATAGATTGATTGATTGATTGATTGATTGATTGATTGATGATGGATGGATAGGTGGATATATAGATAGATTAATGGACGGATGGATTAGATGCGATGGATGATAGATACAGTAGATAGATGCAAGGTGGATACGATAGATAGATAGATAGATAGATAGATAGATAGATAGATAGATAGATAGATAGATGGATAGATATTCATTTAATCATTCTATCATTCAGTCATGTGCTGTTGTGTTTATTCTGTCACTTAATAATTGCCTTTTTTTTCTCTGATCTCAGTTTACTCTCCAGCGGATTCCTCGCAGTCGTGAAGTGCGTCAGTCCTGGAGTTCCTCTGTTCTGAGTTCACTGAACGCTCTGTTCTCCTCCGTACCGCTGGTCTTCAGGCTTCGGCCGGATGTGGTGGGTTTTCTCTTCTCTCATTTATCCTCCATCACGTCTTCATCAAATATTCATTTCCTCTTTTCCTCCTGTCTGTGCAATGCCCTCCAGAAATAGCACATTCATAACATTTTCATAAGATCATGCCTATGGGCTGCCCTGCTCTATTTTGAGTAGGATGATTGCATTTTTATCCTAATTAAAGTATAAAGTCTGTAACAATGCTCCACGTAATTCATTCATAAATCGATCAAGTCAATTTAACAAGTTTAAGTGGATTAAACTTAAAACAATTAAGTTGTGTCTCGAAAACAAGCTCAGTAATTGTGTTATTTCAACTCATTTTAAATAACTCATTTGAACAAGCAGGAAAAATATTATTTGGAGTCAAAGACTAGACAAGACATTTCAAGTGTAACGGTCAATATGGCGAATGAAGCTCTGCTTACTAGTACAGGAGCCAATCATCGATCGCTATAGACTGACGATTCTTTTGGAAAGAAGATCCAACCAGACAGTTTATGTGGTCAACAAACACACCGGAATCTCAGTGAATACTTGCTTTACTGATAAAAGAAAAATATCCACATAAAGCTTGAAATCTCTACTATTAAATGAACTAAGTGCACCTGAAAACAAAAGTTTTCTGGTTTTGTGATCTGTATGAAAGGAACGTGAGGTGCAGTCCTGTCAAATGCACATCACATGAAAGCAACTAATCAAACGCCACAAACAAAGAGTCGTTGTCATTTCTGGAGGAGATTCGGCATCAAGACCAGGTTGTGAATTACTTTAGAAGTACAGCACGATCTGACGAAGCATTATCTAGAGGATATGATGTGTAACCCGGCCATTCTTTTCGAGTAAGCATGTGCATTAGCTTGGCCTACCTGAAAAAAATGCAGGTTTTGTTTGATTCTAATGTTTAGAAACTAAACTTATGAGAACTAAACTTATGTTGTTTAATTATGTTGGTGATTCCAATTATGTAATGTAATTAGAAGCTTGCCAAACAGTTTTGGAGACTTTGATGTTTCCCCATTCAGACAGAATGCCCGTGCATATTGCCTGAGGGGCGTTTTAAAGTGCAGAGTGAAGGGGACTTTGTTTGAGTGCAGTTTATTTTTGTGCATTTCTGAATTTTAAAAAGTCACGTTTATTTATATAGAGTTTTATACAGATCATATCAAGGCAGTTGTACATTAATAAATATGAAAAACAATGTTATTGTTGCAAAATTAATCAATATTAAATGCGTTGCCAGCTGTGAAGGCGACTGCAGGTGACAGTATTATTGTAAAATCAGCTGATTTTGGTTTGGTATTGTTTCAACTTATTTCATCGTCTTTGTTCTCTAGTGAATAACCACGTATGTTAACTCCATTGATAAATATTGGATATATTTTCCAATTGATGTTTAACAGAGCAAGGAATTTTTCACAGTGTTTCTTATAATATTTTTTTCTTCGGAAGAAAGTCTTTTTTTGTTTTATTTCGGCTAGAATAAAAGCAGTTAAAAAAAAAAACCTTTTAAGGTCAATATTATTAGCCCCCTTAAGCAGTATTTATTTGATTGTTTACAGAACAAACCATCATTACCCTAACTTGCCTAATTAAGCCTTTAAATGTCTCTTAAATCTGAATACTAGTATCATGGAAAATATCTAGTAAAATGTTATGTAATGTACTGACATCATGGCAAAGATAAACCAGTTATAATAAATGAGTTATTAAAACTATGTTTAGAAATGACAGAAATTGGGGAAAAATATACAGGGCTGCTAATGATTCAGGAATAAAAAACAATAATAAAAAATTAACACTTCAGGTATTTTCAATGAGCGCCTTATAAAGTGGTAATGTTTTAAAGATTGTTAATGATAGAACAAGCTCAGCATGATCTGGCAGCTTGTTTAGCATGAGTATTATTAATAGACCATATTCTTATTCTTTAAAGTGTTTTCTTAAGTAAATCTCTGAAACAGTGTGTCCTTCAGATTAACTCCGTTGTGTCTTTACCCAGTCCACATCCTTGAGAATTCAAACATCCTGTCCTTTGTTTTGGAAAACATCACTTTTTATAAATATCTCCACACTTTATTGTTTATAAGGTCAGATGAGGTTATCAGCAAAATATTGTTCAGATTCCTATATGAGCTTTAGGCAGAGAAATACTGAAACTAAATGTTTATAAGCCATTAGTTCCACGTTCTGAGTTGATTGTGGATGTGAAAATCTTTCGAATGGATTGTAATATGGTCAAAATGTTTACTACAATCTTATTATTGTTAGCTGAAAACAGCACTGACTTGTTATGGTGGTCATATGAATGATTCATTAATAGATGTTATGTTATCTAAGGAAGCCAGCTTTTTCTATATCTTTCATGATTCTGAATTAAAGGGATAGTTCACCCCAAAATAAAATGTTCTGTTCTGATTGATTTTCTTTCTTAAAAAGCTGGAAAAAGTGACAGTGTGACATTTATTTTTTGTGAGATTTAATGAGAGACACCTGTGATCATTGTAAATAAGACTTAAATCACACCTAAGCCTTTTGTATTGTTCACATTTACTACACTTGGTTATGTTTGTGGTTATTTTTACCCCATTTACGTCAATTATTTTTATTTTTATTTTTTTGAACTTTATTTTTATACATTAAAACATTTTACAGAACAGAACATTCAGTGACAGCAGCGATTATTAAAAAAAAAGAAAAGAAAAGAAAAAACGACAGTAGCCGCAGATGTAAATAAAAAAAATAAAAAATTACAAAAAAAAAAACATACAATATTTAAGGGTTTCAAAGGAGCTAGAAATACTATGTCCTATTCAGGTACAACGTAACAGGTGCCCATCTTTGTTTAAAAATATCCAGTTTTAGTTGAAGTTGAGCAGTCATATACTCCATTCTATATATACAATCAAGTTTTTCTATCCACTGTACTATTGTTGGAGGGTGTGGCTTCATCCAATTTATTGTTATGGTCTTTCTTGCACTTAGTAAAAGTATATGTAGTATATATCTCTGGTTTTTATTATATATATCCTGGGGTATCCCTTCAAGCAAGAAAAACAGGGGAGTAAAAGGTAGATCTACCTGCATAATTTTCATTATCTCAATCTTTACCCCTTGCCAAAATGCAAGTATCTTTGGACATTCCCAAAATATATGTGCCTGATTACCCACATTTCCGCAACCCCTCCAGCATTCCTCTGACTGTGGACGGTTAGTATATTTGGAGACCATCAATGGTGTTCTAAAAAACCTAATTTTTGTTTTCCAGTCAAACTCTTTCCAGTTATGGCTGTTGATCCCCTTATGAGCTTCTGAACATATGTTTTCCCAAATATCATCCTCAATTTTTTCATTAAGTTCAGATTCCCATTTTTCTTTAATTTGAAGGGTGTTATCTGTTGATTCCAGAATTAGGCTATTATATATCTGTGATATGTGTCTTTTATGTTTACGTCAATTATAATGGCATTTTTTGTTTGGCACATGACACTTAATAATAATAATAATTATAATAATAATAATTAAAGTAATAATAATAATAAAAGTCCATATAAAAACCAGACAGTAAGCTTTTTTTTTTTTTTAACTGAAACTGATTATCAACAGTTAAAACGACAAATTGTACCTCTTCCCAGTAGGGAAAAGCACCAACAGTAAAGATTGCATTTTATACAGGGGTTGGACAATGAAATTGAAACACTGGCTAATTTAATGTTGGAGGTTTCATGGCTAAATTTGATATTCCACCAGTAAGAGCAGAGTGTTAAGGTTCAGTTAGAAGAGTAATAGCACAGTTTTGTTTAAAATATTGCAATGCACATAACATTATGGTGGCATATCAGAGTTTAAAAGAGGACACTGGCACATCTGTGACCAAGGCATCAAGTCTTTGTGATGTATCAAGAGCCACTGTATCCAGATCAGTGTCAGCATATCACCAAGAAGGACAAACCACATCCAACAGAAATACTTTGGATGCAAGTGGAAGCCGTCTGAAAGTGATGTCAGTGCGCTAACTCGCATTGTATCCAAAAAACATAGAACCACAGCTGCCCAACTCACTGCAGAATTAAATGTGCACCGAAACTCTTCTTTTTCACCAAAACTGTTCGTTGGGAGCTCCACGGGGTCAATTTGCATGGCCAGGCTGCTATAGCCAAGCGTTTAGTCACTAAAGGCGGTGCCATGTATCAGGATGATAATGCACCTATACACACAGCAAGACTGGTAACAGAGTGGTCTGATGAACATGAAAGTGAAGTTAAACATCTCTCATGGCCTGCACAGGTTGGAAGTACTGTCCAACCCCGGTATGGTGTCAAGACTTTGCAATCAAAAAATGTCATTATAATGGAAGTCAATGGAGAAAAAACAGCCACAAACCTTCAACCACTGCACTTAAAGATTTTAAGTTGAAAAACTTGAAATTACTTTTAATTAATCACGTTAACTTGTATTGTTTAGTATATATAACTATGTTTTTCTTGTTCATTTGACTTAAAGCTTCAATTTCAGTTCACTTAAAAAGAGTGATGCAAAAATGGTGCATATCTAGTTAGGTCCATAAATATTTGGACATCAACACAATTTTGAAGTTTTTGGTTCTAGTCACCAACACGATTGATTTGAAATTAAACGAACAAGCAATATGGTCCTTAACTGCAGACTGTCAGCTTTAGTTTGAGGGTATTTACATCCAAATCAAATGAATGGTGTAGGATTTACAACAGTTTACATATGTGCCTCCCACTTGTTAAGGGTCCAAAAGTAATTGACAGAACAACAATCATAAATCAAACTAATTGGACAATTTGCTTCTAAGCTGTTCCATGGCCAGGTGTGTGTTATTCACTCATTATCCCAATTACAATGAGCAGATAAAAGGTCCAGAGTTCATTTCAAGTGTGCTACTTGCATTTGGAATCTGTTACTGTCAACTCTCTAGATGAGATCCAAGCTGTCACTATCAGTAAAGCAAGCCATCATTAGGCTGAAAAAAC